TTTAATATGGCTAGACCAAACATAAATGATTTAGTTGCGGGCATTATTTAGGACTTTTGAAGGAAAAATCTTCTACCGAAACATTGTGAAACTAGTAACAGATGGGACATAATGTTTCTGCTGCTACTGTGCATCGCATTCAACATGGTTAATGTGTTATTCGAAATAGCATTCGCAAAACAGGTAAAAGTGGCCGCACACCAGCTTCTGCTGACGTCGTACGTAAAATCCGTAATATGATTACGTTGGTGAATCCTCCCATATTAGGAAAATTGGTAGCTAATTGTAGGGTGTTTCTACGCACTGTCAACAGAGTAATAGCAAAATTCTAAAGACAAAACGTAGGATAAAAGTGTTGTGTTGATAGGCTTAGTGAGGCTCAGATTTTGAAACGACGTGCTCCGATCATGGCGTCTATATCTCCGTCTTAACTGTGGAAAAACCATTGTCACCGCAGATGAGACTATACCTTTATATGGGCGGTAGCTAGATCGACAACGTGTTTGTTTTGGTTCGAACTTATTAGACATACTAAAAAAACAAATTGAAGTTTGGTTAAACGAGTCGCATTTGCACCTGGTTACAGGGTAAAAGTCAATGCAAAATATTACCAAAAACAAAGTTCTAAAGCCAGTTCTAAAAAAATGTTCAGCGACTTTGTCCTGAAAGAGAGAATTATATGGTATCTAGACCCGGTTTTAGTCATACCGCTGAAATGACCATTGACGTTCTCAACAAATGCAAATTGAATTAAAAAAACAACTTATAGCATTTGATGTAAAAACGCCCAGATGCAGCTCCTTTTGGACTTTGGTATCTGAGTATACTGAAACATAGACTACAAAACGCAAGATTTATACCATGTTCCGTCTTAAAAAAGGCTCTAAAAGAATAGCGGAACCAACTCAAACCTCAGTTATGCAAAAGTAGGACCTTAAGGAAGCTAGCCAAAAGGGTGTAGAAATGATTTATTTTTGCCATGGATCCATCCCCATGATAAGTAAAAAATTAGGCATGTTTTAAAACTATTTCATAATGTATTGAACACCTCTCGTATTGTAAGCAACTGTTTTTGCTATTCTTTTATGTTCAACGTCATTTAGGATATATATGAACACTTGCTTTAAGTAATGCTATATGATTTTCAATATATGATTTTCTGAATTCGTAAGAAATATTATTTTTTCAGCATATATCTATTAAGCATCAAGCAAACCCACTATTGTGCTACGTATTATCAGGGGTCATAAAATAATATTCTAATACCCCTGTAATTTAAGATTAACTTCGGCGAGAATATATGTATTAAGATAGCTGTGAAGAAAGCACCAGATGCTGAACGCGAAGCCAGTGCATTCAAAAGGGAAAAAGTTCGAGTTCTTCCTAAAGAAGATGAAGGGAAACAAAGTGGTAAAGTTCCGAACATTTTCAGATAAAACTTTCAATTCATTGAATTCAAATCATTCAATTGGAAACCTGGTAGTCTTTAAAAATCGTTTTATCTGAAAAGTAACAAACGTTAAGTTTAAAAGTCCAAAGTACATTGTAATTTGTCTTCGGAAATTTTCTTGTTTAACTCAATTGAAATTTAGATGAGAAACGAATTATTTGAAAACTGTGGAGGATTAATTGCAGAAATATCTCTGATGAAAGGCACGTAAAGGGCAAGCGCGAAATTATCTCAACTGAGATTATATCGATACCAAAAGTTTAAAGCAATTGGTGAAAGGATGAAAAAGTTGATAGACAATATAGAACATTGATGAGGGAAACATACTTATTTAGGAGCTGTCAGATGCGCGTTTATGAACATGAACACAACTTGTTATGGAATTTGTATTTCGCGGACGTTGAACTTAAATCTGTACGATGTTAAGAACAGAGGAATATGTAGGCAGCACACTAGATGGTGGTGAACATGGGTGGACATTCGGAAGCCAATGCAAAAATAACGATATTATGTGATATTATATGAAATTCCAGACTAGGTTGACCGAGTCTGTTTCAATGAAATATAATTGCAAAAACTGAAAAACATTCTTCCAAAACCCCCTAGCACCAGCTTAAGTATATTCAATCTTGCACACTAACTTGCTGAAATCAATGATTCCAAATTTGAGACTAAATGTCTTCATCCATCATAATATAGTCATGACAGTTTTATTTTTCGCCTCAGTGTATTTCATCGGTTTTCTTTATCGTATTTTTTATTGTAAGTGTAAATCGAAATTAACATGCATGATTCTTCTTGCGTTTTTATACAAATAATAACATGACTTAACGTTAAAGATTCTTTGTAATTCTGTATTCACATTAAACTACAAATCTTCTTTAATATACCAATGCGCATCTGAACTAGAACTAATGCAACAGCGACTCTGTAAAATCAATATGTCTGTTTACTAATTTAAATCATTAAGTATGGCAGTTTATACATTCAAAAGATAAAGATAAAATACTAGTATTTCTTTTAAAAAATGCGGGGAGGTATCGCTATTGCAATTAATCAATTTGTTATCTCATTATTTTAGTTCTTATTCAAATTGACTTCATAAAACTTATATACTATAAAAAACATTAAAATCATCAGTAAAAAAGAAGTATCGATTTTTCTTTATTCTATATTAACAAGAAACATATCTAATTTGACATGTCATAATATAATCACATTTATATTATTGCAGGATGTCGTAATTAAAGTAGTAATGTCGGCCAAAAGTCGAGTAAGTTATTTCTTATAATTTACTATTTAATTGTTTCAGTGTGCTCAAATCTTTGAAGGAAAAGCACCAGTTGTCTGTTTAGTATAATTATTTAAATAACATGTTACACTCAATTTCCACAAGAATCGATGTCTTTATCGTACATTCTTCATTCTTATAATTGAATGACTGATCAGTCTCAATTCAGGAAAAAAAAAAATGGGACCGGGAACACAAGGCAAATCACAGACAGGTTAACCGCTTTAATAATAATATTATAGGAAATAATAGTGTTTGTTTACGAGAGGTCTTTTTTTGAAGCTGTTAAACATGTTTTAATTGTTCATGTGGCGGAAATTTAAGTTTTAAGAATTTCTGACTGGTCGCATTCCATCGCAAAACAATAGCAACATATCGCTGTTTCCGTCTCAATCCGTATGTGCTTAATTAGGAATAATCAGCAATGTGTGAGCAGCAAAAGTTCGGTACACGTTTCACTCGCACATATGATAGTGGTGCTTCTTGATATTGTAGCATTAGTGTTTACTGATTTTTTTTAAAAACATAAAAAAATATTTCCTATTAGAAAACAATAATCATTTTATACAGTTTGAATGATTTAAAACGGAAAGATATCACTGTTTGTAGTTTTAAATGTAACATAACTGATATTCTCCCGATTTTTCCCTTTTACTGAAATTAGTTCAAGTTGTTGTTACCTTTCTATCAAACAAAGTCGTATTTTGAAGAGCCTCATGCTTTTGAAAACTGGTTCCAATGATTTTAGACTTTAAATGAAATCAATAACTTCAATTTGATTGCACAATTGGTGCCACCAACAACTCATTCTCAGCACTGTAGAGAGGTCTGAATGACCTCTCTAATAAACTATGTGCGTTATTGTATAAGTAGTATCATTTATTTCAGTCAGGTTACTCAAAACATGTCTGCTATCCTCTGTTTAAGTGTCACATGTTGGAACCGTTAAACAGATATGAGTGATAAAACTTTATCTGAAATTAATTACACGAGCTGTGTTTACATTAATGCCATTATTCTTTAAATTGAGTTTAAAATCAGTGCAATGTGTGTTGAAAATAGCTAAAAATAAATTATCTTAAGATAAACTTTTGGAAAAGACAACAAAAAAACCTCAAGTTCTTCAAAAATTAATGATTTTTATTTTTTAATTCTTACAGCAGCACATTCATCCATTAAAGAGAACACGTGCTTGCCTAATTCTTTCCAATATAAATCTTTAAGGATTTGATTGAATTAATTTTAAAATTGCTTTGACATTGTTTTAGATTGAATTATGTATCATGTCCCTTAAAAATCTTTTCTTTTCCATAATTTAATTATAAATGATATGACACGGAAGTGTTGCCGAACCAGTAATAAAGCAGCATTTTTATATGCCACATACGAATTAAATATGATTCGGTAAAAAAATGTTTGACTTATTTTTGAAATATTTTATAAATAAGTGACATACTAGGTAGTTTCACGGCAAGAATAATTCCGACAGAGACATTTTTATGTCAGGAAGCTATCTAGCTGGCTAACGGAATGTCTGTGTCTGTTGGTATGAACTGTTTTAATTTGGAACTGTACATTCCATCTTTAAAGGATTTCAGTACCAAAAAGCTTAAAATTCATCAAATTAGAACCCGATCAGACTGGCGGAATTGTTTGCAAATGCTTGACGATGCAGAAGCTGGTCAGGAACAAAACTGCTGTAGTTAAATTTTACGTTGAAAATCAACAGTCTTGGAATATTGTTAAATTACATTGAAAAGAACTTGTGCCAGCTTTCATGGTCATATTAAAAGATTGTTAAAAGCTAGTTGCAATGGTCTTCACTTAAAAACACGAACTCGAATTTAGCGTTTATTTGGTTATTAGGAATATATCTGCTTCCTGTATTAATAACAATACTGCTGGTATCTTACAAAACGTCGTGCGTTTCAACTGTTCGCTGTAAGGTTATGTTTGTTAAAATTTGGTTGTTTATAAGACAGTATTCCTTATAATTAATGTATTCTTTATAAGAAACTTGGATACATCATACTGAATGTCAAATGCTCCGACAAGTTGTCTAAATCCTAGTTTGTACTTGTCAGTTCTTCAATAATTAATTTACTTTTTTGTGTGTTTATGAAGCTCTTTAGGAACAAAATTGTTGCTCAGACATAGTCTTTGTGATGAAGAAAAGGATTATATTGACAAAAGGCTAACCAATTGTTTGAATACGATGAAGGAAGTACTAAAAGACAATGTCCCAGCTGCAAAGAATTTGGTACTTAAACTATAATGCATATTAGTTTATTGTAGAGAGACTACTGTCTATTGAATGCCAAGGTTCTATCTGTGATGCTTAGAAACAAATTTTTTTTAAATAATTCTTATCGTAACCAAAACTTTATAAAATAGTTTGTAAAACATACCTCCTTGAAATTACTTCATATTTATAATATGGTTGTACAATGAGTTCAATTGATTTTTTGTGATTTTCCAATGTCGCAATGACGTTTATGGTTCTTTTTTAATCTAAGTGATTGTTCAAGTTTAATATTGTTTACACCGACAGGTTCCAAGAATAGCAGTAATGGGATCTGGTGGTGGATTTCGTGCTATGACAGCATTTTCTGGTGCCATGTCCGCCCTGGTGGACTCTAGAATAGCAGATATGGTTATGTATAACGTAGGTCTCTCTGGGTCGGCTTGGTAAGATATCTTTTTTTTTCTCCAAAACTTTAATCTGTCTCTGTATTATAATAGAACAATAGCACAGGCTGTATTTTCTTAATCATCTTGTATTGCACACAGGAGTCCATGACGAAAAGCTCGATTGCATGTTTTATAAAACCTTATTGGTTATGTTTTACGTCGCACAATCACCATGTAGGTCTTCCAGTGAATATCCAGCTGTATTGATGAGGGAAGACCCAAGCTGCCCTTACTTGCATTATTTCAGGCACAAACTGACACCTGAGGAGAATAACTCTTTTTCTTTCAAAACAAAATTACCATTTAATACTTTGAAATGATACTTAAAAATTAAATTCACGATTATAATTGTGAATATACGGCAATGCAAATATACATGGCTATAAAATGTGTGTTAATAGCAACATAGTTATTTAAATACATAGGTACCTTTCAACTTTGTATTCCCATCCTGATTGGCCGCAAAAGAAGTCTGCTATAGACCTTCGTTCAGAGTTACGTGAATGCATTATGTCCAGTGCGAAGTTGAAACTTTTTGATCCCTTGTTTTGGTTCCGCGTGGGTAGAGATTCTATAACAAGTCCGACATACTCCTTCACTGATATATATGGACGTTTTATCGGTGAAAAACTTCTGAAAGAGGTAAAAAACTACTTTAGTTCTACAAGCAATAGGGCTACTTGTTAAGGCAAAATATTGATCAAAACATAGTGTAACTTTTTCAAGTTTTGATGACACATGCGTAGTTTGCTTTATAAGACGTTACGTAGCACTTCAGAGAGACGATATTAATGCATAGATCTCTGACCTGTTCATTTCTAATTATTAGATTATTGAATACAATAACAATTCACCACAGTAAGTTTGTTAGCGACAGAACACTGTTAATGTTTGTGGTTAAATAATATTTAAAATAAAATGTCAGAGACGGGATCTAACAGTTGCAAAATTTTGCTCAATCTTTACCGTTGCTTCTATTCATTTTATCTCCCTCACCGCATTATATGAATGTTTAATTTTAATGATGTCTTTAATTCATTGTATATTTCCAGCAATTTATTATTATTAATTTATTTTTCTTGTTGTCTTATCCCTAAATAAAAAACAACTAGAGGATGAATTCAACATTGACAAGCCAACAAGGAAAAGTGAGCCATGGATCAGCTCCATTGCCTTTATATGCAGCTTTGAATGTGAAAAGAAAGACTTCAGCAAAAGTATTTCATGGTATATATATATTTCCTTGCTTTAAAAGGGACATTCTTTTTGAATTGTTATATATCTGAAAAGAAATTCCTGTTATGATGGCGATTGACCAACAATTCATAGGATAAAGATAAATCCGTTTTGAATATGATTATGTCTATCCCATTCTTTTTATGACTTAAACGCTTTAGGTAAATTCCGATAAAAAAATTACATAACTTTCCTTCATCGTTCATGTGATGTTAATCATACAATTAAAGGAATTATGGAAAAATTTAAAGTTATTTTGACTCACACCTTGTCTAAATACCCTTTGTCACTTTAAACAATTGTTGTCTTTTTCTAATTCTTTATCTATATTTTTTGTCAGTCAACTATCAACTTTTCTAGACGTGAATTGTATTGCAGAACAATCAAGTTTTTTTTACCAAAGTATGATTTAACCCCAAAAGTATAAGACATTTTTGTGGAATAAGGTTGTTTGGCTTTTATTACGGTCAGCAATTTTGACTCGACCATTTAACTTATAAAATAAATCTCCTTTTTATAATAAATGTAAAATGTATCTTTACTCATTCACTATTGTTCATAAAAGAAATCTGAAATTGTTTATTAATATATTGAATTAACTTTCCAGAGTGGATTGAATTTAGCCCCTTTGCGATAGGCATGCCTAAGTATGGGACCTTTTTGCAACCAAAGTTGTTCGGAAGTGAATTCTTTTCAGGCCGCGTACTAAAAGGAAATGACGAAATGAAACTGCATTATCTTCTAGGTAAAGTAATGGAAATATTTTATTTTTAACATCGCTTCTGTATATGTTCATTGCATAAAATATTTACATTCTTAATTTTACGTTACCAAAAGCTGAAAGGAAAAGCAATAAGTTTATTTATGTAATTTACATACTTTATAAATTTAACAAATGTCCGGCAAATGTTGACTATAACACAAATTTCTGTTCTTTAAAAAGACTCATCTAAGGTTTGTTTACCTTTATTAGCTCACCAGAGCCGAAGGCTCAGGATGAGCTATTAGTATCAAAGGGGGATGCTCCGGCGTCCGTCTTCCGTCGTCATGCGTCAACAATCGTCTTCTTCTCTGTAACTACTAAGCAGATTTACTTCAAATTAAAACATCTTCTTCTACAGAACTAATTGATGGATGATCACTAAACTTTGTCTGTAGCATTCTTGGGTAGTCTTTTATCAAGTTTGATCATATTATATTGATTGGCCCCTTTTAGGGATCTCTAGAGCTAAAAATAGAAAAACCTTAAAACATCTTCTTCTACAGAACTAATGGATGGATGATCACTAAACTTTTTCTGAAACATTTTTGGGTAGTGTTTTATCAATGTTGCTCATATGAATTTGATTGGCCCCTTTAAGGGGCCGCTAAAGCTAAAAATAGAAAAAACTTTTAAACGTCTATTTCTACAGAACTATTTGATGGATGATCACCACACTTTGTCTGTAGCATTCTCAGGTAGCCTTTTATCAAGTTTGCTAATATTATTTTGATTGGCCCCTTTTAGGGGCAGCTTAATCTAAAAATAGAAATACCTTTAAATGTCTCTTTGTACAGAAGTAATGGATGGATGGTCACCAAATTTTGTCTGTAGCATTCTTAGGTAGTGTTTTATCAAGTTTGATCATATTAATTTGATTGGCCCCTTAAAGGGGCCACTAAAGCTAAATATAGTAAACCTTTGAACATCATTTCCTACTGAAATATTTGATGGATGATCACCAAACTTTGTCTGTAGCATTCTTAGGTAGTCTTAAGTTCCCCAAGTCATGGCATTTCTTAAGATTATAGTTTAAAGATATTCTATGCTCAAATTTAATGTCATGACCTGTTTATGATGTGTAAATATCTCACAGTCATGACCTGTTTATGATGTGTAAATATCTCACAGCTCTAGAATTCGGACATCATATTGCATAAGGTCAGTTGTAGGTCATTAACCAGGAAAAAAATTAGGCCTAAAGAAACATTAAATTTGTTTCTCCAGTACCTTTTTAACAAAGATGAGTTTTTTTTATTGAATTTTGTTAAAAATTGTATTTTTTTTTGTTGAATTGGTTTTAAACTTGGGAAAAGCACATTTTAATAAATTTTGGGACAGACTTTTGAACCTGAGTTTCAAGTGAAAAATTGAATTTTGGTATCAGTGGAACTGTTTTTAGCTCGACTATGCGATAAGAATAAGTAGAGCTATTGTAGTCACCGAGCGTCGGCGTCGGCGTTGACGTCCGCGTCGGCGTAACTACTTATGTTAAAGTTTTTGTAATAGTTCAAATATTTTCAGAGTCCATTGACATATGGCTTTGAAACTTTGCACACTTGTTCACCATCATGACCTCAACCTGTAGACAGGAGGAGGTAACTCTATCAAGCATTTTGACAGAATTATGCCCCCTTTTCGACTTAGAATTTACGTTAAAGTTTTTGTAACACCTCAAATAATTTCAAAGTACATTGACACATGGCTTTGAAACTTTGCACACTTGTTCAACATCATGACCTCAACCTGTAGACAGGAAGAGGTAACTCTATCAAGCATTTTGACAGAATTATGTCCCTTTTTCGACTTAGAATTTACGTTAAGGTTTTTGTAATAGTTCAAATATTTTCAGAGTCTATTGACATATGGCTTTGAAATTTTGCACACTTGTTCACCATCATGACCTCAACCTGTAAGCAGAAGGAGGTAACTCTATCAAGCATTTTGACAGAATTATGCCCCTTTTTCGACTTAGAATTTACGTTAAAGTTTTTGTAATAGTTCAAATATTTTCAGAGTCCATTGACATATGGCTTTGAAACTCTGCACACTTGTTCACCATCATGACCTCAACCTGTAGACAAGAGAAGGTAATTCTATCAAGCATTTTGACAGAATTATGCCCCTTTTTCGACTTAGAATTTATGTTAAAGTTTTTGTAATACCTCAAATATTTTCAAAGTCCATTGACATATGGCTTTGAAACTTTGCACACTTGTTCACCATCATGACCCCAACTTGAAGACAGGAGGAGGTAACTCTATCAAGCATTTTGACAGAATTATGTCCCTTTTTCCACTTATAATTTACGTAAAAGATTTTGTAATACCTCAAATATTTTCTAAGTTCATTGACATTATAAAGGCTTCGAAACATGTTAAAATTTTATACTCTTCTTTGAGAGCATAATAGGATTCTCTCCAAGGCCTATAACTGTAATATGGATTTAAAGAAAAATGTTGCCTTTCTTTTTTACTTAGAAAATTTTACCTTTTATTCAAGGCTTTTTTTACTTTCAAGCACTAAGAATAGTCGAGCGTTTCTGTCCTACCGACAGCTCTTGTTGATATTTATGAAACCAGTGTACATACTTTCTTGTTTTTGATGTACAGAGACTTGGATTTTGGAATGATGTATAGAGACTTGAAATTTGGACCAGGTTTGTAAATTCTGATGCGAAACGAATTATTAGATAACTTCTGACTACTGAATGGGTTTAATTTCTGATCCTGAATTGATATGAATTTTGATATGAACTGGCCTACTTTTGATATATTTGATATCGCTTTACCTACTTTCTTTGTCTTTTATGTACAGACTTGAAATTTGGACCAGGAGTGTAATTTGTGTAAATTTTGATGTTGAACTCAATTTTGATACCAGCTGACCTACTTTCTTGTATTTTGACATTCAGATTTTAAATTTGGACCAGGTTTGTAAATTCTGATGCCGTAATGAATTTTGATATCAACTGACCTACTTTTGATATTTTTGATATAATTTGACCTTCATTCTTGTGTTTTATGACATACAGACTTAAAATTTTAACTAGGGGTGTAATTTCTGATGCTGAATTGAATTTTGATATCAACTGGCCCACTTTTCATATTTCTTACAATGTTTGACCTATTGTCTTTTTTTGATGTACAGTTATGTAACCATACAGAATGTATAAAAAATTTGTTGTCCCAGACTGTAAACTTCAAACATCTACACCTTACATGTTTTGCATGTGACATTTTGTGTTTTCATTTAAAAAAAACTTATTAAAAAAATTGTCCAGCCAAAATCAATCCTGCTCTAGTGGTTATTTATTCTGTATTTATTCTACATATTCTCATAGGAACACACTTGCAACATACATATTTGTGCCCCCACTTTAGTGGCGGGCATTTAGATTTACCCTTGTCCGTCCGTCCGTCTTCCGCACTCACAGGAGAGTAATTATGTGGCTAGAGGGACAATAGGTAACTGTTCTTTCTCTTTGATGTCATTCATTCCGCAATGCTTTTATGTGGGCTATTTTCGTTTGGGTGGCTAAAAAGAACAATAGAGAGAACAATAGAGTAGCCACATAATTACTGTCCTGTGAGACCTTCCGTCCATCCGTCCGTTCGTCCGTCCGTCCGTTCTCTTTTGTGTCGCATGTAACTCAAAAAGTATTTGACCTAGAGTCATGAAACTTTACAGGAATGTTGATCAGCATGTGTAGTTGTGCACCTGGGTATTTTCGTCTGAATATTTTTAGTATTTTTAGAGTTATTGCCCTTGACTTAGTAAAATTTTGCAATTTTAAACTTGTGTCGCATGTAACTCAAAAAGTATTTGACATAGAGTCATGAAACTTTACAGGAATGTTGATCAGCTTGTGTAGTTGTGTACCTGGGTATTTTCATCTGGATTTATTTAGTATTTTTAGAGTTATTGCCCTTGACTTAGTAAACTTTTGCAATTTTAAACTTGTGTCGCATGTAACTCAAAAAGTATTTGACCTAGAGTCATGAAACTTTACAGGAATGTTGATCAGCATGTGTAGTTGTGCACCTGGATATTTTTGTGTGGATCTATATTGTATTTTTAGAGTTACTGCCCTTGACTTAATAAAATTTTGCAATTTTCAACTTGTGTCGCATGTAACTCAAAAAATATTTAACATAGAGTCATGAAACTTTATAGGAATGTTGATCAGCATGTTAAGTTGTGCTCCTGGGTATTTTCGTCTGGATTTATTTAGCATTTTTAGAGTTTATATAATTGCTCTTGACTTAGAAAATTTTTGCAATTTTCAACTTGTGTCGCATGTAACTCAAAAAGTATTTAACATAGAGTCATGAAACTTTACAGGAATATTAATCAGCATGTGTAGTTCTGCACCTGGATATTTTCGTCGGGATTTATTTAGTATTTTTAGAGTTATTGCCCTTGACTTAGAAATTTTTGCAATTTTCAATTTGTGTCGCATGTATCTCAAAAAGGATTTGACAAAGAGTCATTAAACCTTATGGGAAGGTTGCTCAGCATATTTAGTTTTGCCCTTTACTTAGTACAAGATTTTTAGTTTTCAAAAAATATTTGACCTAGAGTCATAAGATTGACAGAACAGTGGCGCGGTGGGGGCACCCGTGTCCTATGGACACATTTCTAGTTTTAACAAAGCCTTTCCAAAATATTAGGGCAAAATATTTCAATTTATATTGTGAATAATGCAATGATGGGTTAGATGAGTGATCAAGGGCCATCTTAGTGGCCCTATTGTTTATTATGAAGAATAAACCCAAAAATAATCAGTGTTGTGAAAGTATATTACTAGAGGGCCAAGTTAAAGTTGAGTTTTGAGTTGAACTTGCCGAAAGAGCTGGACTTGCCTTTCAGCAACTTCTTTTGAAAAATAATTTCCAACACTGAAAAGCAGTTGTTTCTGGTGAGCGACTCAGGGCCATCATGGCCCTCTTGTATATATATATTGAGCTGAATTTTAAAGAATTCTGTCTGTTAAAAGACGAATATTGGGTATTGGGCTGAATTTTCCTTTTTTCTAGCTGTACATTGCTTATTCTGAATGTCTAGCTGATTGTTGATTGTCGAGCTCAACTTTAGTTTTAAAATTAAATTGAAAACTCACGAATATTGAATGTTGAGCTTATTTATACTGTCTAGCTTAACATTGGACATTTAAGAATTTCTTGCTGATGTTATTTGTCTAGCTCAATATTGGAAATTTTGAATGTCTAGCTGATTGTTGATTGTCTAGCTCAACATTCGTTTTTAGAATTATATTGTTAAGAAGCGAAGGTCGAATGTTGAGCTGAATGTTGATTGTATAGCTCGACATTGAATGTCGATTGTTGATTGTTTTGCCAAGTTATTGCACTTTGTGTTATGTACTCGTAAATTTCTCTTCTCTTCGTTCGTGCACTGTACGTTTACTTTTAACCCGTTTCAGGTATTTGGGGTAGTGCGTACTGCGCATTGTTACACAGGTTCATTAAAACTGACAAGATAGGCCCAGCCAACGTTACTGAAGAAAGACAATTTTATGGTATTTTAAAACTTTTTAGATTGCATTTATTCTGCTTTAATTTATATTTTAAGTTGTATCCGCTTTTAGAAAATAGAATATCAATTTCTTTCCCATCTTAACAGAATCAGAAGTAGAAAATGACTTCGAATCACATGGCAGGGATGATCGTGACGATTTGCTTACTGAAACTACCGTGCGAGGGGGAAAGCCACCAATAACTGAAAGGATTATGAAACTGCCTTCTGTCGATAAGTTCACTAATGATATTCACGGAAGGGCGGCTATGGTGAATAACTTCATGCGGTATCTTCGACTACAGAAATACAGACCATCTAGAAAAATAAGTAAGACATCCATGGTACATATCCTAAATACCATAGTATTTTATTCGCGTCATTCGTGTACTGATACACTGTATCATGTTAATAGTCATTTAGAATTAATAGATAATGGTTTGTTGCCTATTTTGACCTATCGAAAAATTCGAATGAGAACTAAGGTTTGGTATGCTTTGATTAATATAAAAAACATTGTAGCTTAATTTACTTAAAATACATCTAAGTACAATAAGGGGTACTATTATAATAGATATACCTTAGATTAATAAGTTTTGAGGAGAAATATGCACCATTTTCATAATACTGAAGTAGTAATTTTGCAATACGTTTTCATCTAACATTATAAGGAAGGAAACGATATTTAGATTTCGCATTATTTGAGCATTTGAATTCGTTAATGACTGGATGTGAGGAATCTATGCCCAATATTCATCTTTATCAATTAAAATTTTAGAAAAAAACTGGGTATGCATGCATATGATCAGTTGACTTTTTGGACATTGTGTTGACTCGTGAACCTATAATTGGTAGGCAATTAAAATGATTTTAGAAAAAACGATATATTCGGGTCACATCCTAACAATTACTATCTCAATCCATTGTTTCTTGTCCTTTGTTTATCCTTTTCTAGATAGAAAGTCACATGATAAAATGTTCTGTACATACGCAGTTATATATTGCCAATTCTTATGGCTTTTTGTGTTTTAGCAAACAATATTAAATAACCAGGCAGCTTGGAAAAGAAAGAGAGAAGAAAATAATGAGCATTTTAAAAGATAAAATAGTCATAAATCAATTATAGAATGTTCATTTAACAAAAAACATGTAGTTTCCAAACATATGACAAGGAATAATAGTGTAGTAGATCTTACACCCATTCACCTTTAAACAGTTTGTATAGTATTGAATGTAAACTAAAACTACAAGCTTACACGAATTCAACTGACTGTTGCTTTAAATCTGAAAGGTATTTGAATCAGTAATCTAATAGCAAGCAAAAATGGGTCAATACTGTTTATCACATAACATCAAATTGTTAATTTTGAATATTGTATGGCTGCTTAAATTTGGACATTACTAACCTAAGTCCGACTGGGACTGTGAACCAAGAAATGATCAAAATTAATCATGTCTGTCTAAGTTGACAGTTCAATTTTACGTTCAAAATGAAAGTTGAAGAATTTACAAGTTGACTTTGTGTTTTGTATTGACCATACATAATTATAATTCAATGGGCTTGAACATATTACAAATGATGATCACTTCATATGCGCCGTAAATTAAATAAATAGTCTTTGCTTATAAACAAAGGGACGTCTGTCTGTATAATGCAAATCAGTTATTAAGAATATATAATTCCTAGCGCGTTTCTAAAATATAACAAAATCAAATGTATATACAATGCACCTTTTTAGCTGCCAATTAATTTTTTTCTCTGTTTCAAGATTTGTTATGACTAGAAAAGAGTATTGCAATTTGGTAAAAAATATGAAAAACAAGATCAACAAGGAAAGGCGGCGTTCAATGAACGCAACCCCCATATGACCCAGCAACAAGAACCAATGGCAAGGAGCCCAGGCGGACCCCAAACATAAAAGGGACAGGGCAACGACACGTTAATCATTAAATGATAAATAATTTGTAACTGATTAGGAATTCAAAGAAAATAATAATAGGCCCACAAAGGGGAAGGGGACAGGAGACCGGGGGAAGGGGGGGGTTAATCAAAGAAATAAAAACTAGAGGCAATGGGGAAGATACTTACCGTAGACGAGAAAACAACAAGGGACACAAGCAAAAAGTGTCACCAAAACAGTATGAAACAACATAGACATACATCTGAGGAACACAGTGGGGCGCCGCCTTGGAACGGTCAGCAGCATAATAATGACTGCTGGGGAGTTTAAACCGGTTAATGGTGCACCAAACCTCGCTCTTAGCCCCACCATGTTCCTATAAACGAGACAGTGTAAATAAAATGAATCCCCGCCAAGTGAAATTCTAACAGTTGTCATGGTTACAAAAGGTTAAATAAGTAAAACACTAAAATGATCATGTAGAAACATATAAAAGTAAACCCAATGACCATAACAAAAGTACTCAATGTCCTAAAGAAGACAGAGCAACAAGAAAATCACCTACAAGGGCCCGACGAAGCAAGGCAGAAGACGAACATTAAGACAATTCAGTCCCAAAGGGCTTTACGAACTATCCATCATAGAGTCTCCCACTTGGTCCGTCAGATGCAATCAAAAGAGGAAAGCGTAGTGTCCAACTGTAAAAGGGTTGAACACTAAACATGCAGTATGTCTTAAAATAGTAGGGTCATAACCTCTTTTAATAAAACGTTTAATAATTTTAGTAAAAACAGCAGAAAAATTACCATGACCCAAAATCTTACGAAGTTTGTAAACCACATCGCCATAAAAACCAGGCTGGCTAATCCCTTGTCGCAGAAGAGTTTTTAAATCACTATTGAATTTAGAAATTAAATCAAAGTTACGATTAAAGACTTGATTAATATACTGACTTGAATAACATATATATGTTACGATTAAGTATAACTGGAATAATATATATGCATTGCAATTTGGTAAGACTGATTATCTATATATCTTCATTAAGTATGACTGGAATGACTAATAAATTGTTATTTTGTGTAATTGAAACAATATTCTGCGAAAAAGTATGACTTGGTTAAAATATTGCAATTAAGTATGGCTAGAATAATGTTTGACTAGATGGATCCTAATGAATTAATGCACTGTATATAATTGTTTAATAGGATTGGATGGAAACCTTTTTGCAGCCATTGAATCAAGTAAGTAATTGAGATACACAAAACATTTGTATTGACAAGTATATAACATGAATAAAAACTGTATGAATGTGTGTGATTTTGTCTAAAAAAATTCTCTTAATATAAAATAACTAGTTATAAATGTTATGAAAGATAAACATACTCCTTTACTTTTAAATGTTTTTATACAATATGTATATTTTTGTTTTATTATTAAAGACATTTTCTTTCTTTTCCAATAAATTTTAAATCACTTTGCTGCGAAAAATACGAAATATGTGAAAATAGCTAGTTTTGTGAAAACCTCTTTAAAGCTGTGTTGAAATGGTTTATTTTTCAGAGTGTAAAGCTGTGTCTGTGAAAATATTATATAAAATTTCAAAAATAGTACATCCATCATAGGCTTTTATATTCAAATGAACACAGCAAAGATAAGTTTTCACAAAATGTGTCCCTGTAGTGTTGGGGCAAGAGGTATACGCGAATATGAAAACATAACAGGAAATACTGCTATTTTCTGTTATCGATAATTTACACAAACACAGATATCACGTACGCCTCCTATAAGTCGAACTGTGGTCATTTCAGGAACTTAAGGAATATAATTTGTTATGCGACGCAAACAAATACTATTCTTGATACACACTTCCCTGTATAGCTTTATTCTTTTAAAAAAGTAATGACTGGGCTGTAAAGTGAATTAAGATCGTTCAACACGACATTATTGTTGTGCTTGTGGTACTTTTAGTTTCAACTTTTCGGCATTTTCTAGTTGGGTGGTTCCAATATTCCTACTTGAATAATGTTGAATCACCCTTAGGATATGTTGCCTGCTTTTTAAATTTGTCTTTTGACGTCTTATCTGTGATACGCAGGCTTCATAGCCTCTGATCCCCTTTCAAAATTCCATTTTATTTAGTTCCGCCCATTGTTTTCTCGTTTAGGGCACACGCTTTTTATTACTTGGGGACCATACGCCGCTTTTAAAGGAATGGCACGGAAGTGTCACATTGAAGGTTCCATGATAGCCGCCGTATGAACACATCTGCGGATGTTTCTAAATTCAAAATTTTACTATTTCATGTTTGAATGTTGAATTCTGCTTAAGCCGGTGCTAGGGGGCGTGGACGGTAACTTGCACTTTCCAGTACCGTCCATGAGCCTGCAACATTTTCAATATTGCCGTGTTGGGCTTTCTTTAGGGATTCTGTATTTATCTATTTTAGTCTGAAACTGAAAGTCTTTAATACAATAAATAAATATGCTGACAACATTTAGTATCATACATACCTAAACCAATATAACATACATTTATATACCAGATTATGAAATGTTCCAAAACAAAATATTATGATTAATCACATAATGTTCATTACTAAATCAGAACTCTTTTCAGAATTCTTTTTTAAAAATATTTTATAAACAATATACAAATGATACATTTCTATTGCTATTATCAACCGTTTTAGAACAGCCCTTTTTTAGATGGTGTGATTCAGCACCTTTTCTTATCATTTCAAGCTGATGGACTATTTAAGGAGTTGCATGAAATGAACCCCACAGATGCGGAGAAGATGTATCTAGTGGACGCTGGCCTGGCATTCAATTCGCCGTTTCCTCTTATACTACGACCAGAACGTGAGGTTGATCTCATCCTGTCATTTGATTTCAGTGCAAGAGAAAGTGACAAAGCAGACCCATTTACAGTTCAGTATTTTTGATCACAAGAAATTTTCTTCGATGGTTAAAACAACAATTTAAATTCAATTTAGCTCTTTTCAGCGATATTCAAAATGTACTAAGCTATCTCTGATAAAATATCTATGTAATAATATATTGTTTTCATAACCTTATCGCGGTTTCTTGAACGGATTTAATTGAACATTGAATGTAACATATTAAAATGTTCCAAAACAATATATTCTATTTCATAGTTTTTGTGTTGCCTTTGAAAAGGCGACATATAGGGGTTACTTTTGTCGGCGTCCCCTAAAGCTTGTCCGGAGCATAACTCAGTCACTATAAGTCGGATTGACTTCAAACTTGGTATGCATGCTTCTTTCAATAACCCGAAGTGCAGTGCACAAGGACCGGTACTCTGCACTTCTTAATTTTTGAGTTATTGCCCTTTGTTAATTTTCATACTTTAATTTTGTCCGGGCCATTTCTCTTCAACTATAAAAGCTATGGACTTGAAACTTCATAGAATGATAGATCTCATAAAGAAAAAGTGCAGTGCATAAGAACCGGTATTCTGCTTTTCTTATCTTTTTAATTATTGCCCTTAGTTAATTTTCATACTTTATTTTTGTCCGGGCCATTTATCATGATTTATAAAAGCTATGGGCTTAAAACTTCATAGGATGATAGATCTCACTAAGAAAAAGTGCAAGGCACAAGCACCTGCACTCTGTTTTTCTTATTTTTTGAGTTATTGCCCTTTGTTGATTTTCATACTTTATTTTTGTCCGGCCATTTTTCCTAAACAATGAAAGCTTTTTACTTGAAACTTCCTAGAATGATTGATCTCATAAGGAAGAAGTGCAGTGCACAAGGACCGGTACTCTGCACTTCTTATTTTTTAGTTATTGCCCTTTATTAATTTCCATACTTGATTTTTGTCCGGGCTATTTCTCCTAAACTATAAAAGCTTTGGACATAAAACTTCATAGGATGATAGGTCTCATCGAGATGAAGAAGTGCGGTGCACAAGAACTGGTACTCTGCACTTCTTATTTGTTAGTTATTGCCCTTTATCCGTGTTTATGAATAACCTACATTTAAGAAGAAAATGCTTAAGTGACAACTATACTTTTCACACATCCGACTCGCGGAGTTCTAGTTAAAGTAGGTTTGACGTTGATTTCACATTTGCCTAACTCTTTTTTAGTTAAATAAACTGACACATTTCTTTTATATTAGGTATTCTGTAATAATTTTAGTCACAAAATTAACAAACAATACTTTTACAATTTTATAATCAACAAACAGCAAATACATAGCTTCATACACTTTAAAGCATATAACGTATCTTGTCATTGTGGTATTGGTTTCATATTACATGTATTGATATTTATTAATGCTAGGATTCAATGTTGTACATATGACTGTTGGGTTTCCTTTTAGGATTGACACATTTTGATTGCTCTGCGTAATTATAAGACGCGACTAAACTGGTTAAAATAACTGGTGTCTATGCTTCTCTTAGTTCTAGCAGGTGAGGCGGATTTGATCCTTGGTGTTGCTTTAAGGTTTTTACACCCGCCACCCAACGATAGCCAAAATTACCTTTCATATTTCGGTACCATGTGACCTAAATTGTGGTTGTGCTTCGCGAAACAAAACAAGGCTAACAAATATTATTCTACAACTAGTTAGTATGAAGTTTAACTTTGTGAATCGTCCTTAATTTCATTATTTTATATTAAAGACATTGTATTGTATGCTCGTTTTCTATATAAGTATGATAAGACACATACCCGTGATAACGGCCTTAAGTCAAAGAAAATGAAACGCACTTTTAAGTCACAACAAATGAATGGCCTTATCTATAAACACGTTGCAATGAAATTTCTCATACGACTTTGTAAATAATTGGAAAATATATTATCAACAGTATGTCTTATAAATTGTGTATGAGCAGTTGGCCATTTAAAACAACCAGTTCCTTTTTTATTTTATATGCTTTATTGTATCCTTTAGGAACTACGACTAGCCGCTGAGTGGGCAAAACTTCATGAGATACCCTTCCCTGACATCAACACTCCTGAAATTGGTAGTGAAGACTTAAAGGAATGTTATGTCTTTGAAAAACCTGATGATCATTCTTGTCCGATTGTCATGCATTTCATTCTCATCAACAATAAATTCAGGACGTTTAAATCACCAGGTGAAATGGGTTTATTTATCACTATTATCTGAACTTATGGCATTCTAGATAATGATGTATGACTGTTGCTATTTCACAGAATGATGAAAAAACTGCTCTTTCAGAAAAAAAGATTCGTGTTGCCTGTTAATTATTAACATAAACATAATCTAAAACTTCTGCCATGATAACTTATATATGTTGTACATACAAGGCCTAGATACATACTGATAAATAGACAGTTCTATGGAAATGCATGTCGGAACAAACATTTATAATACATTATGGTGCTTATTGACTTAGAACTTGAAATGATAAAAAAAATGTTTTAGAGTGTTTTTATCAGAAAATAAACACTTGACATGAAAAGTTGCGATGATTTTAAAAGAAAAAATACTAAACAAACACGCTTTGCATGGTGCCTGTAAACAGGTTATGTCATCGGGTATTATCGATTAAAATTCTTTCATTGTAAATTTAGTAGTCTACTGCTAAGGTTTTTGGACACACTTCCTTTTTCACAGTTTGTCATTAATATAATATACCTAATGAATTTAGTCTGTGAGTTTTTAATGTTTCATTTTTTCATTGGTTTTCATACTCACAGCCTATACAATCTATTGTCCATAAAATATTAAATACACATGCATTGAAAAATAATGACTTGATTTTTATCCGATTTCTAGGCGTTAAAAGGGAAACGGAGGAAGAGAAACAGTTCGGTAAATTTGATGTTTTTGACGATCCGGATAAACCTTATTCAACAACTAGATTTAAATACTCAGCACAAGCTTTCGACCGACTTGCCAGCCTTATGGAATTCAACACACTACTCTATAAGGATACGATTTTCAACAACATAAAGAAATGTGTAGAAAACCGTAAAAACAGAGCAATTTCCGAGTTATGAAAGAATGTTTCAGGTGCAGGTGACAAAAAATGAGTGACCGATTATATAAACTCATGTGAAAATGTCTGACATATTTTGTCCTAGAATTAATATTTTCTTAATTTTTCTAAATGTTTTGATAGATATGGAACGGCTTAAAGTAGGAAGGTTTTAATTTCAGGAATAATTTGTATTCTAGTAAACTATAAATAGATATAACTTTAAGAAAAAATTAAAGTATGCAAATGTGTTAGTATGCGTTTGCCTTTGGATGCTGTTAAAATGCAACTATGTAGTGTACTGCGTGTATTAAAGGATTTTGACGAAACATTTTGTCCCGCCTTTAAGGTTGCTGTTCCGTAGGCAAACAAAAGATTAGTTCCTCGAAAACTAAACATATATTTTCGAAAACAAAGACCTGCAACAGGTTTTGCCAATATCAGATTACTGCATGACAACGCGTCATCGCACTAAATGTCTACAGTGCAATATTGGTAAATCTGTTATAATGAATAGACTATAAGAATGCATTCAAAGATTGGATCCGAAGACTTTTCATATATGTTGGAGGTGTATATTTTGAGAGAACAAAATGAAAAATTAAATGAAAACTATGATGAATCTTAGATGCATTCAACTTGGAACACTTCTAACAAAAATCCACAGGTAGGTGTGAGGCATCTAAGCACGCAACTAAAAACCTATTAAATTAGGAAAATCCCACAAAAAGATATAAAAACTTCAATCGGCACAAAACTCGAACAATTCCAATCCACAGTTATATTTCAATATAAACCTTCATTTTCTAATACAAACATAGGTTAACAATATATGAATGTTTATATATCTATACGAATCTTTGTATATCTCTACAAGTAGCTGGGTGTATTGCTATGTATAATTGTATATATCTAGAAAGTAGCTGTGTGTATTACTTTATTATAATGTATGTTTGTATTTCTCTAGATAGTAGTTGATTGTAAAACTATGTGTGTTTGTATATCCCTTAAAATATTACTACAAGTATATCTCTAGAAGTAATTGATAATTATCAACATGTGACTGTATATCTTATACAATTGTCAGAAATAAATCCTATTTTGTCAAGAATGGCGAAGAAATATTCATTTAAGTCCATTAATTTTTACAGCAGATGTATATCATAATTATCATTTTACTACAATGATAGCCAAAATTTTGATCAAAATGTTGCGGTTTTATCATTTTAACAATAAAATAAATGAATATCTTACATAGACCAATTACCTTTAATCAAAATAAATTTTTAAAAAAATCAAATTTTATTTCAAAGATAAACTCTTCAAGTTCTAGCCAGACAATTTTTCTTTCATTTTGTGGCATTTTGTTCGTCTTTTCTTCTTGATATACGTAATAAGATGCTCAGAAGTAAGTGTAAAATCAGGATTTATTTGTTGGAGTTATTTGATAAACATCAATTTGTATATTGCTAAAAAAATGTCAGAAATTAATCCAAATGTGCCAAGAGTTACGAAGAAAAAATTATATTATTCCACTTATTTTTACAGTAAATTAATGAAACACCGTTAGTAGTCTTACAATAAATAAACAATATATTAACTTCACAAATTGTTTTTCTTTATCCCTACAAGATTTAAGACATTGTCAATGATCACTGCAGGTCGAATTTGGATTGTTTGTTTGATAGGGTTTTACATCACATCGACACAGTATAGGGCATATTGCGACGTTCCAGCTTTAATGGCGGAGGAAGATGGCGTTGCCTTTCCGTGCATTATATCAGGCACGAACGGGATACTGAGTAGAACCACCAACGTTCTATCTAGATAGCTTCCTCACATGAAAGAATCCAAAGTTCATGTTGGATTCGAACTCACGGTGGTGAGGGGCAAGTGGTTTGAAGTCAACGACCACTCGGTCTAGGACACCCCTTGCACCTCAAATAGTGATCGTGTTTGGAAAATAGAGTTTTGAAGAATAAATCTATTACTGTATTAAATTTACTCAAAATATCAGAATAGGGCATTTTTTACAAAATAATTTAAGAATAGATCTAAGGAAAAAACAACAATAAAGTAATTCTTTTAGCAATCACTCTAAAGAAAGACAGCTTCATGAAAAAAGAACAAAACAGCAAGTATTGCAAACC